TGAGTAGGTGAGTGAAATACACCTCTTCTTAAGGAATATCCCCTTTTAAAAAAGTATTTTATTTTTTTCCAATTACGTGCAAAGATAGTTTTCAACATTCATTTTTTGGTAAGATTTTGAGTTCCAAACTTTTCTTCCTCTCTCTCTTCCCTCCTGCCTCCCAAAGATAGCAAGCAATCTGATGTAGGTTATACATGTATAATCATATTAAATATATTTCTACATTAGTCATGTTGTGAGAAAAGAATCAGAACAAAAGGGAAAAACCATGAGAAAGGAAAAAAAAAACAAAAAGGTGAAAATAGTATGCTTTGATCTGCATTCAGACTCCACAGTTCTTTCTCTAGATGTAGATAGCATTTTCCATCATGAGTCTTTTCGAATTATCTTGGGTCATTGTATTGCTGAGGAGAGCTGTCTATCATAGTTGATCATTGCACAATGTTGCTGTTACTGTGTACAGTGTTCTCCTGGTTCTGCTCACTTCACTTAGAGTTGGTTCATGTAAGTCTTTCCAGGTTTTTCTGAGATCTGCCTGCTCATCATTTCTTTTTTTTTTTCTGCTTATCATTTCTTATAGAACAATAGTATTCTGTTACATTCATATACCACAACTTGTGCAACCATTACCCAAATGATGGGCATCTCCTCAATTTCCAATGCTTTGCCACCACAGAAAGAGCGGCTCTAAATATTTTTGTACATGTTTGTCCTTTTCCCTTTTTTTTTTAATCTTTTTCGGATACAGACCTAGTACTGGTATTGCTGGATCAAAGGGAATGGGTAGCTTGGTTGCCCTTTGGGCATAGTTCCAAATTGCTCTCCAGAATGGTTGGATCAGTTCACAACTCCACCAACAATGCTTCAGTGTCCCAATTTTCCCACAGCTCCAGCATTTCTCATTAGGAATATCCTTTTTTAGCAACTGTGTGGAGGATGAACTGGGAAGGAAAGAGACAAAGGGCTGTGAGATCATTTAGGAGGCAGTTGTTGGAAGAGAACAGACAAAATGATCAGCAGAATATCTTCTTTCCTCTGTTAAAATCTCAAGTGGATTTATAAGACCATAGATTTAGAGTGGTTATGGATCTTAGAGGTCATCTAGTCCGAGCTCATTTTATGGAGGAGGAAACTGAGCCCCAGAAAGATAAAATGTCCTGTCCAAGATCTTATAGGTAGTGATGGCAAACAGAATTTAAACCCAGGTCCTCTAACTCTTGAGATAGTGTTCTTTCCACTTGTGTCTACAAGAAACCTATTTTAAAAGGTTCAATAAGTAGTGATGTGGAATGGAAACTCAGGAGAGCGATTATATTGCTCAGGCTGTCATCTTCCTACAGATGATAATAGAATCCATAGAAGCTAATGAGATCACAGAGAAAGGGAGAAGAGAAAGAGGGCTTAGGATAAAGGGGCATGGATGAGGAACCACCAAAGAAACTACGTGGCTAGGTAGATAGAAAGGAAAGGAAGAGAAAGCAGTGTTACAAAATCCAAGAAAAAGAAAATCTTGGATAGAAGATGGTGAACGGTGGCAAATACTGCATAAAGGTAAATGATAACTGAGAAAAGACCACTCGATTGGGCAATTAAGAGATCACTGCTAATCTTGGAAAGAGAAGTCTCAGTGGAGTGATGAAACTAGATGGCAAAGTATTGACACTGGAGTGAGAAGAGAGCAAATGGAGACAAGGAGGATGGACAACTTTTTCTAGGAGGTTGGCTCAGAAAAAGAGGGAAAATATAGACAAGACTATTTATTGTCTATAAAATAAAAATTTGAGTTATTCTAATATTCCAGAGACTTTCATGATAAATATTTTTTTTAGCTGAAACATCCATAAAAAGAATGAAATGAGAAATCTTGCTAAGTTGAGGACTCCTTTGCCCAATTCCCTCTCCCAACCCTGATGTAAGGATTAATGCAAAAGTAATAACTTGATCCATAATTAACAACATTATGCTTAGACATGACAGATGCTTATAAAATCTGTCATAGATCTTGCCATTTTATGAAAAGTGTCATTTAGAAACTAGCGACAGGCTGTTCAGTCATAGTATTGCTTTCCTTCATCAAGAGATGCCTTTCGTTTTTAACATGTCTTCTAGAGTCATACTTTTCCAGCAGTCTACTTGGTGATGTGGGAAAAACACTGAGGTGATGGAAGCATAGTGACCATACCCTACAGAAGCAATAATAGGCATGTTATTTTCTTTGCCCTCTCTCACCCTACCTTGTTCTCCCTAGATTGGGTGAAGGGGTGTTTATAAAAACTCTTCAGGTTTGCCTTGCTATTTTCTACTCTGGGCCAGCAGAGGTCAGCAGAGCAATCCTTATAATCCAAATTACATTTTAAACAAAGTAGCTAGGGACAAAAACATCCAACCTCAGTGACGCTTCTAGAATGCTGTGCCGTTTTTCATTGAATTCAGACTCAATAAATGGCGTCACCAGGTATAGTAATTTACTAGAGTCTATAACATTGTTATATGCTTCAAGATGGTGAATTGGACAGTCTCTGCTTTTTCTGAACCCTGAGAGAGGTCAGACATCCTACCAGTGTCTAGATCTAGCATTAATAGTAACCCTATTTTACAATTGTGGCCTCATCTCCTCTTTGGACTGTGAAGCTAAAATAATCTGTGATATTATTTTAAAGTACTTTTCAACAATTATAGATAAGGAGGATCTCTCTGCCTTTTCTCCCAACTCTTTCACCTCCAATTCATCTGGAAAGCAAATTTGATTTTTAATTTCCAGGAACAGCTCACCCCTCAACATCATTCTAAAGTAAAGTACACCCATGCTTTCAGAACATAAGTGTATAGCTTAAGAAGTCAGGAGAGACAGGTTTTGTATTGCAGTTTGTTCCTTGACTCTTGGGGCATCAAGGTGGCAGAGTGGAGAGAGTGCCAGCTCTGGAGTTGTGAGGACCTGAGTTCAAATTTAGCCTCAGACACTTACTAGCTGTGTGACCCTGGGCAAGTCACTTACCCTCTTTGCCTCAGTTCCTCATCTGTAAAATGAGCTGGAGAAGGAAATGGCAAAGCACTCCAGGATCTTTCTCAAGAAAACCCCAAATGAGGTCATGAAGAGTTGGACATGACTGAACAAGAACAAATTCTCCAGTAAGAGATGGAAGTTTCCTCGACTCATAGGATTGGGACAGGGGCAGGGATTGGACCTGTCATTTCACTGGTATAAAGAAGTCCCAGGTGAGGAAAACTCCCTCTACCAATGCTGATCAGTATCTTCTCTGCAATTTATATAGTTTTAGAGAGCTGACTAATGCTACCCACCTTCAGCAAGAGAAGAGATAAACTCAGAATACAGATATCTATCCATTGGAACATGGCCGCTGTGCAATTTTTTTTACTTGATTATTAATATCTTAATGGGTTTTGTTATTGCTTACTCAATTAGATGGAAGGGGAGGTAAGAAGGAGAGAATGAGGATCTGAAAATAAAATGAAATTGAAATTTAAAAAAAGAGTTCCTTTGAGCCCTGAGAGGTCAAACCACTTGCCTACGACCCCACAGCCCATATATATGTCAGGAGCAGAACCAAACCCTGGTTTTGAGGCTAGTGTTTTATTGCCATGCTTCATGGCATATCATCCTGCTCCCTGATTTCCCTTGCAGTAGTGTAGAAGCTCAACTGAGAAAATCTATGACATATGAAAGGCATATATGAAATAGCTACATAAATTAAGATGCAGATATATAACGTCTTTTTAGATTCACCATATCAATGAGTAGTTTACATATTGTACACATGTATATAGATATTAGTGTGCATATCTATTTAAAGATGTATTTAGGTGGTGTAGAAGATAGTGTCCTGTGCTTAGAGTCAGGAAGACTTGAATTCAAATCCTGCCTCAGATGATTACTAGCTGTGTTACTCTGAGTTAGTCACTTAGCATCTCAGCCTCCATTTCTCCATCTGTAAAATGAGAGGTTTGAACTCTATTACCTCTAAGGGTCCCTTCTAGCTCTAAATCCACTATCAGTACCTATACACGCAATTTTCCCAAAGGTTTTTTGGTATTCTGACAAGATTTTAAGAGTTGTGACTCAACGACTTCCTTTCTCACCTGGCTGGAGTTGCCCCAAGAAAAAAAAAGGACTAAATTTCTGAAGTCAATTAAGTCTGGCCGGAGGCTTTGACTTAGTATTCTTTTCCCAAAGAAGTTACAACATTTCCCTTTAGAGGCAGCTGAGTTCTTCTTGGATACCGCACACACATACATGTATCAGAGACACACTATGAATAAAATATGACTCAATAGTGAGAAGAAAGAGGGCATTGCTATATTTTTGGGGTTTGTTCTATTTAATTCACCAAACTAAGTTGCCAAATGTTTTGTGGGGCATGTGTGTAGACCAAAGTTAGCCATTTCATCATTTATATTTTGGTGGAGGAAGAGTTTTACTGAACTTTAAAATCTGATCATTTCTTTTATGAAGCCAACACTTTGACGGATCTGTGATTTTCAGGGGTTTCAAGTACTGGAAACCCTCCTCCCCACCACCAAAGGTAGACGCTTCCACACCTTTCCTCCATCTGTCATTTCTATCCATGACTTTTTTGTACTTCCCAATTTTATGAAGTGCCCATGTCAGATAAATTCATATTTCATTTTTAGTGGCCCTAGACCAAAGGATTTTATTTTCTGTATACCTTAAATTTAATTGAGCTTTTGAAAGAAAATGTTGGACTAAAGTAAGCCATTATCTCAGTGGGTTCTCTCCGCATTGTACTTCTTATAATGAGAATAGTTCCAACGTTCCACAGACAACTTGTTTCCTGCTTTCCCCCCAAAGTACTTAAAATATGTACTTTCTCCTCTCTTACAACGTACGTGTGTGGTGTGTGTGTTTGTGTGTGTGTGTACACGCATTCTCTACGATCCTTGGGATTCCTGGATTCTGACCGCGGACGTTTCTAAGACACCACCAGCAAGGAGCCGCCTAGGGCCGCCCGCCCACGAGTCTTCCCCGCCCCACTCGCGTTTAGGGGAGGGGATGGGCCACGCTATCCCGCGGCAGCCGGTCTTCTGGTTCGAAACCTTTTGGCCTCCACCCCTCCGGCCGCGCAGCTTGGCGTGAACTGGGCTAGCAGAGGTAGAGGAGTACTCGCCCCCACATCCCCGCAGTAGCTCAGGGGGGAAAGGGGACCCGGCTGACGAGAGCTCCCTCCCCCCCCACGCGCTTTTCCTCCCTGTGGCTGCCTTTCAACTGATACTGAAGCGGCTCCTCCGCGAAGAGCCGAGCCAGGGCGAGCCCGGGACGCGGTGTCTGCGGCAGGTGAGTTCGGCGAGCCCAGCTGGGGCCCTGGGAGGGAGGGGGCAACCTTGGGGTCCCGAGCTGAGCCTAGCCCAGGATCTGACGGCAGGCTCTCTTTCTCGCCCCTTCAGTCCAGCTGTGATATCAATCCCCATTCCAGTTGTGATACCTCCTTACCTACTTCCTTTCGTATTCTTTGGTTTCTCTGTTGCCTCTATCACTCCATAGCACCCAGATCCTTCTGCCCTCGAGCTCTCATCTTCCTACAGTCCCCAGGGCAGCCAGGGGCAGGAAGGGAATATATGGTTTGTGGTGGTTATGGACCAGGCTGAGGTAGCATTGTATCCTTCCCATCCAGGAAAACGTATGGAATTGGTGCGCGGGTTGCTGGAGGAGGTTAAGTTCATCACCCTTGGGGAACTTCCAGGGAGTTCCAAGGCAGGGGAACTGCCCAAGGTCGGCTAAAAGGGCGGGAAGGGAATGAGGTGCCTTGTTTGGAATCCGAGGATAACGATGAAGTGAGAAGTAATCGAGGAAGAAGGAGACAGAATGAGACACCCGGTCTAGCTTTCCCTCTTTCTGGGAGCACATTTCTTGGACTCCGTCCCAGGGACTCTTTTCCCTTCGCAAAATGAGGAAAGCTCACCAGCTGAGCGTCTCACCTGATGAAAGGCTGCCAGCCAAATCTGAGGGAGTGGTTTTAGGGGAGATTGTGTTGGGAATCAGGCACACCTTGGTGCTCTGGGAAGAGATAAGCTGGACTGCAGGTTCAGGCAAACTGAGTTTGAATCCCAATTCCTGCTGCAAAATTGCCCTATGACTGTGCAAATCTTTTCTCCTCCATTTTCTTTATGAACAAAATGAGAAATTTGGATTAACTGATTTCCCAGGGCCCCTTCAGTTCTGAAAAACTGGGCATTGACCTGAGGTGTGGCTGTTAAGAGGAGTGGAGGAACTAGGAGGAAGTGTTCTGGATAAAGCAATGGCCCAGGAGTCAAGAGACTTGGTTTTTTCGGTACTAAAGGAGGGTTACGCAGGAACCTGCGGCCTCGAGGCCACATGTGGCCCTCTAGGTCCTCAAGTGCATCCCTTTGACTGAATCCAAACTTCGCAGAACAAATCCCCTTAATAAAAGGATTTGTTCTGTAAAACTTGGACTCAGTCAAAAAGCTGCACTTGAGGACCTAGAGGTGAATGTGAAGTTTGGGTTCAGTCAAAGCTCTGCACTTGAGGACCTAGAGGGCCACATGTGGCCTGGAGGCTGCAGGTTCCCCACCCCTGAGTCTACACCTTGAATGTATCTAATCAATAAAGACCTCTGATAAGTGAAGCTTTCTGATTGTCCTGGCCCTGTGCCTGGTCAGACCATGAGTCACTCCTTGTTTCACATGCTACTTAGCATATGACTTTGTATGTCACTTGCACGTCATCACTGATCCAGAGAAATCCCTTACACCTAGCTCCTTCTAACTCTCAAGCCGTGTATCCTAGTGTGAAGGAAGGACTGTAACTAGTTCAGAACCTTACATATAGGAAGGGCTAAGCAAATAGTGATCGGCTGATTAGAGGCCACCTTTAGTGACTGCCTTTTTGGAGAAGATGAGCCAGCATTTCAGATTGGAATTTTCTCAGAGAGAGAGAGATAGAACATTTATTTATTGAGCATTTGTTATGTGCCAGACCCTGTGCTAAGCAGTGAGGTTAAAATACAAGCAAACCAGATGGTTCATATCCATAAGAAGCTTGGATTCTAATGGGGGGGGTGGAGGGAGAAGAGAATACAGAAAGGGGAGCTGGAAACAGTGGGAAGGAGGCCTGAAACAGGGCAAGATAGTTGATGTGAGGAGAAGCCTACACTGAGAGCTGGGGAGGAATAGCTGGGGCCCTTCCTGAAAGGTCTGGTTGAGGAGGTCATTAAGCAGGAGAACAGGGGCTCAGCAAGGAGGTTTCCCAGGTGGGAAAGTGGCTGGTGAGGAGGGGTGGCTATGGGACTTATACCCTAGGACTTGGATTCTGGTCACTTGGGACAATCAAAGGGGGAAGCAGTGGCTTGAACTTGGCCTAGTGGTGTTAAGCCGCGTAGATCTCCCGAATGTGTGGAGTCACAGATCTTTTTTTTCTTCATTTTTTCCTGCTCTGGACTATTTCTGTTGTAGTCCTGAAAGGCAAGGGAAAAACTAGAATTTTGTTGTTCAGTTGTTTCTGACTTTCCTGTGACCCCATTTGGGGTTTTCTTGGCAAAAATACCAGAGTGGTTTGCCATTTCCTTCTCCAGCTCATTTAACAGGTGAGGAACTGAGGCAAACAGAATTAAGTGACTTGCCCAACATCACACAGCTAGTAAATGTCTGAGGCTAGATTTGAAATTCAGGTCCTTTTGACTCCAAGGCCATCGTACTCTGTCCACTATGCCACCTAGCTGCCCCCCACTAGAAATAGTCTCCAATTCTGTTTAATTTTTGTACAATCTCCCCCCCCAACACAATGCTTTACATACAATAGGGATTTGCTTATTGTTATTGAAGTCTTGCAACATGGCACAGTGGAAAGAATACTGGACTTGGAGTCAACTGACCTGGGTTCGAATTTTGACTCCAAAAACTTGATTGCTGTGATGGAAGAGCCAGTCTCTGAGCCTTAGGTTCCTCAGTTGTAAAACAGGGAAAATTGCACCACCTCCCCTAGTTTCTGTGATGGAAGCGTTTTATAAACTCAAAAGCGCTACGTAGATGTGAGATGATTATAGTAAACACCACTGTGAGTTTCACTAAAATTCCTTTCTGAGGCAGGGACTAAGATGACCATTGTTCATCTTTATGCCATGGCACTGTTTCTCATGCCGGGAATGCATTCCCTCCCCCATATGCCCTTTGGAATCCTTGATTTGCTTCAAGACTCAATTCAAGTCCTACCTGTTACCGGAGGCTTTTCTCAATACCTCTGTTGCCCAAAATTATTTTGTGTTTGTTTTTTCATCCTTTATGTTATTCATGTTGTTTCCCCCATCAGAATGTAAGCTGCTTGAGGGCAGGAAGTATTTTGTCTTGTCGCTGTGTTTCCTGGGTTGAGCTCAGAGTCTGGTACATAAGCTGCTTAGTAAATGCTTGTTGATTGCATATAATCAGGATTAACCCCATCATTTTATACGTGAGGAAACTGAGTCCCAGAGAAGTTTAGTTCAATTCACCAGTGGTTTCTTAAGGACCCAATATATGTTCCAGGCACTGTGCTAGGTGCTTTCTTTTTAAATTTCTTTTTAAAAACTCTACCCTTAAGGAACTTACCTTCCATAAATAATTTGCCCTAGATCACATAGATAGCAAGTAGTAGCTGAGCCCAGATTTGAATGAGCCCAGGTGGGTTCCCTGACTCCAAATCCAGTGCTCTTTCTTCAGTGCCATCCATCCTGGTCTCTCAATCACAGCATACATTTGTTAAGCAGCTACTCACAGCACACACAAGTTAGTAGAGGATTCTGGTGGGACTTTTCTTCCCAGTCTATGTTTCTCTGAGTTCCCACAACATTAGGCAGCCTATGGGGCATGTACGTCTTTCCTGTCTTGTACTCTTATTGTTTCAAGTCAGATGGTGAGCCCCAGTAGGGAAAGGATCTAGTCCTTATTCTTCTTTGGAGACTTTTAATGAGGCACAGGCCTGAGCACAACAGCCCTTTCGCTGAATTGCTCGTTATTAAGTCAACAATCAATGTCAGTAATAATAAATCCAGTTCTTAGGAGCAGAGACTCATGATTGCTGTCTTGTATAACCTGGATCTTCAGGCTTTTGATGAATGATCCAAAGTCAAGTTCAAGCTGTTAGATTTTTTTTGAATAAAAAATTTTTTTCCTTCCCTTAATATAGATTTACTCACCCCAAACATACAAAAATTCACATCTGAAGTAAATTCACTTCATCAGATTTTGATACAACAGTTTTGTTTAGCCAGAGAATAGTTGTATCTGCTTTTATGTGAGGCTGAGAAGGAGATGAATGTGACATCTTATCTCAAGAGAATCAGCTTTGTGTCGAAAAAAGCCCTGGGCAGGGTTGATAACTGAGATAGACTGAAGTAAATTTTTTTTTCTCTTGGCTCCAGGCCAGGAGATATTGACAATAAAGATATCAGAAGCCTCCAGTCACTCATCTAGCTCCTGTTCAGAGGCCCTGCCCCCCTCCAAGTTGAGATTATTGGGCCTGATTTCAAAGTGGGAGGAGTTGAACTTGTGGGCTAAGGAGGTAGGTGGTGGGATTTCCTTCTCTGAAGACCTTTATGATAATAATAACTACTCAGATTTCTGTAGGTTCTTCAGAGTTTTTAAAGGGCTCTCCACATTAGATGGCTATTACAAGTATCTACAGCCCTATTTTACAGATAAGGAAAAGTGAAGAACTTGCTAAAGGTCTTAGAAGTAGTATGGGAGTCGAGTCTCCTGCCTCCCAAATCCTACACTCTTGCTATTATACCGGTATGGCTTTTTGGAGCAGTAAGTCAATCAGCTGTCATTAAACACTGGGTGGGGCTAGATTTAAACCACCAAGGTGAGGGGGAGTAGGAGGTAGCATTGTGCTAATTAGCATTATGGTAGACTCAATCAGTCCTGAACTTTGCCAGCCTTGCAGAGTTCCTCGTCACTTATGTATGGCCCTCGGGCCAAAGGTTTCCTCGGTTTTATTTTAAATCAAATTTCATTTGAGCATAAGGAGAAATGACCAGCTAATGGGGTACGGTCCTCAGAGCATGCCCAGTATGCTGGTATCAACCCCCAGGAAGCCCCTCTCCCACCCCATTGGCCAGTCTCCTATAATTCCTCCCACCCCTTACTTGGGTAAAGATGATTGGGTAAAGATCAGTAGTTGGGTAGAGCACGTGGTAGGATGGCCCTGGGCAGAAATGATCCTAACTGGACATGGAAGAAAGTATAGTTGGTTTTTGCCTTTCTGAGGCACCTGGAGAACACTGGCCCTCTTTTGGAGATATAGAAAGTCTCCTTAGTCCTTGAAAAAAAGTTAGATCACTTTCC